GTTCTCCTGCCTCAGCCTCCCGAGTAGCTGGGATTACAGGCGCCTGCCACCACGCCCAGCTAATTTTTGTATTTTTAGTAGAGATGGGGTTTCACCATGTTGGCCGGGCTGGTCTTGAACTCCAGACCTCAGACCATCGGCCCGCCTCGGCCTCCCAAAGTGCTGGGATTACAGGTTTGAGCCACTGCGGCCAGCCTCCATTCTGTCTTTTAAACCTTTCCCCAGGAGTAGGATGGGTACGTTTTCCAAGGCAGAAGGGAGAGCAGGGTGGGAATCGCTGATGAACTGAGCGCAGCGCCTGAAAACACTCAGCCCTGCTGCCTGGTGCCCTGTTAGGAACATTCAAACTGATGGTACCGAGAGCTGGCGTCTCTCGCCTGCTGGGCAGAAACCGGGCTGTGGAGGGGAATCGGCACCAAAGGCTGCTCTTTTATCCTTGTGTGGAGCAAATTCTCCTGATGCTGTATCTCTCTCCGCCCTTGTCATTTGACGTCAGAGCCACAGATTAGAAATACATACCAAAGGAAACTCTGCAGACACAAAGGATCCTTCCACACAAAGGGGAAAAAGCCACAACCACAATAAAAAAAAATCTATCCAACCAACAAGTTTTATTTACTTTTGGGGAAAAAATGAAGAGAGTGATGGAGCTGGGATTTGTGTTTTCTCCCACAATGCCTGTGTCTCCTGAAAGCTATTTGAGGCGGCAGAGCCCAGGGCCTGGGCAAGACAGTGAGGCGATCCTTTGAAAACAGGGCTTCTTTCTCTTGGAGAAGGAACGCTTGGCCAGCTTCTTCAGATGCCACCAATCTATAACTGCCCGTGTATCACATTCACCATCTATGTACTTTAAATCTTGGGGCAGCATTTATTTTATCCTGGAAACTGTGACAGCCCTATTTTTAGCTGGAGGACCCCTTTTCTCTCCTTTAATCCTACTTTGAAATACTATCTGTGTAGACTGGAGGCTGTTCACAGAAAGGCCCATTAGAAGCCTCTTAGTCCAAACTTGGTCTGGGAGATTGGCGTTCTGAGGCACAGAGAGGTTAGGGACCAGCTGTAAATCACACAGCTGCTTAGTGGTGAATCTAGGCTCCAATCCCAGAATACACTGACCTCCAAACCAATGCCTCCCCCCACAAACTCTACTACAGGGTAGCACAAAGTGGTTAGCCATCTGATCTCCAAAGACAGAGGGCTCTGTGAAATTCCAGTTTTATGGTCATTTAATACGGACCATGACCCTGGGCAAGTCACTTAACCTCTCTGAGCCTTGATTTCCTTACCTATACATTGGGGATTATGGCAGTAACTAACTCTAGGATTAGGGTGAGGCTTGACTATGCCAGGGATCGACACACATGTACATTATGATATTGTACTGCTCCTGTTTCACACACAATTGAGTGGATCTGTGATAACTGCATCCACGCCACCATCCAGAAATTGGCAAGAAAGGATTGTTCTCAAACCCATTGTGCAGATAGGAAAATTGAGTCCCCCCCAGAGTTGACATAACTTGCACAACATCAGAGTTTTAAAAGTAAGTAGATAGGTGGAGGCTGCAGTGAGCCATGTTCATGACACTGCACTCCAGCCTGGGTAATAGAGTGAGATCCTCTCTCAAAAATAAATAAAGTAAGCATATTCTCAGCACTAAGAAGTCCTACATATCCTTCCCACCATACCTACAGAAGTACAGGTTGAACTAGGAGTAAAAGTTGCCTCTTCCCTTCCCCCTGCAGAGCAGAGCCACAAGTGCACAAACACATACTCCATGGCCCTTTCCTGTAACCTGGAATCAGCACAGGTCCTGGCACAGAGCAGAGGCTCAATGCAGTTTCAAAGAATGGGTGAATTACTGAATGAATGAAAATCCCAATCTGCTAAGAATGGAGTAGCCTGAAGCAGGTGGATTGTTGCAGAAAGCAGGGGCCAGGCAGGCAAGAACTCTGGTAGCAGCAAGCAAGAACCCCGTTCTCTCCTTAGCATGTTCTGCAGGAAGAAACCTTTGACAAGGTCAATAGCCGGGCCTCTGATCTCAATGGTCCATCAAGGGTGTCTCCCAGTCTGGCCCACATGGCTCAATCCAGGACCCAGGAGGTAACTGTGAAGCACGCGTGACCCTCCTCCAGCTAAAACAGATGTAATAACATTGCAGGCAAGGGGTGGCGAACAGGCCAGGGAGAGGGCCCATCTGTCTTCCTAATTGTCAACTCTGCCCATAATAAGATTTTTCTCCCTGTCACACCTTAGGCTGCTACTGAACTGAAGCAAAACCAAGATATCCATCTTCCAGCCATGATCCGTGGCCTTCATAAAGTACCAGGGACGAAAAGAGGTTGTTGGCTAAGAGAAGCAGACAGAGCTGGAAGGAGCTTTAAACTGCAAGTCAGGAGCTTGGGAATCCCTACTCATAGCCAGCTGTGGGTACTTAGGCAGTCACCGCACCTCACTGAGCATCCATTTTCTGTAAAATTGAAGTCCAAAGTTTTGGAAATGGGTTAATGGAGCAGGGAGCTGTGAATCATGTAATATTGTATGCAAGATATTTTAGGTTTTATGCAGTTGGAGGAGAGTATCCATAATTTTCATCAGAATCTCAAAGATGTATGCAATAACCACCATCCCTTCCCCACATAAAAAAAGTTAAGAAATACTGGACAGTTTCCATCCAACAAGCATTTTTGGAACACCTTCTATGTGCCCTGCTCTGTGCTAGATACTTGGAGAGTCCTGCTTTTAAGATGCTCAGTGTAGCTGATATTTGCTGTGACAGAAGCATGTCCAGGGAACTTTAAGAACAAAGAGAAGGCAGCATTTGCCTCTATCTTGTCAGGAAGGGCCTTCTACAGAGGAAAAAACCTTACGTTTAATGCTGAAGTTAAAAGCTAAGAGTGCATTCACTGGGTGGACAAGAAGAATATTTTAGACCAAGGGTAGTAGTATGTGCAAAGGCAACGCGTGGCCCAGGAACCATCTGAAGCATAGTTGGGCTGAACATATTGAGGGTGCTCATTGCAAGGGGCTGGGGAAGTGTTAGAGCCAGAAATGAGGCTGGGAAGGTAGGTAGGGCCCAGACGAGGAAATGCCATGTATGCCACCCTAAGAAATTTTACACTGTCGACAAGTTCTTTCTAGTTTTAAAAGTCTAGGGTGAGCCACCACTCCCAGCACAAATCTCCCTAAATGTTGGGCAGAGGCTTTGGTTCACTGTGAGCTGAATGGACGCTAGGGAATGAACCGCTGCTCTTGGCACCACGAGTGGCATGGGCTGTCTGACCAAGGTGCACACATGAGGCAGTGAGTCCAGCAAGCTGCTGTTGGTCTCTCTCTCTCCTTCTCCCCACACTGTGATCTAGCCAGGGGGCTTCCAACTGCTCATTATTACAGTTGAGAAAGGAAGGCACTCAATGGGATGCACAACTAAGGGACTGCCCATTTGGGCCCCTGGTAGTAACTCAGCCAAGGAAAGCTTTCAGTTCCTCTAACCCACTCTGCTACTCACCTGAGGCTGTCTCACATGCGGCTCCTTATGCCTAGAAGGCTCATTCCACTCTCTCGTGTCATTCTGCAGACTGACCGACTACTGGACTTATCAGGTTCTCAGGGTATCTAGTCTTTTCAAAGAACTCAGCACTGGAGAATTCTCTATTTATGTGAGTGATTTGATTCCTGTTGGTGTTGGCCACTGGAATGCAAGCTCCATGAGGCCAGAAAGTGCCAGTTTTGTTCACTTCTGTACCTCACTACGTTGACCAGTGCCTGGCACAGAGCATTTGTTGATTGAATCAGTCTGGTCTGATTCCTCAGCCATTCCCCAAAACTCACTTTCCCCAGGTCACATTATGGTCCAGTGAGGTGGGAAGTCTGGGTTTGAAAAGGCAATATTAGAACAGACTGTGCCTCTATTTCCAGTGTAGCTTCCCTGTGTCACATTTTGAGAAGCTCTAAGCAACCTGGGCTTGATTTACCTGGGAAGGTCCTTGGGAATCGTGTTTAACTCAAGATGCTTTCTCCCCAGGCCTCAGCCGGGTCACTGGCTGCATCTGATCCTCCTCTGGCCCTATTTGGTGGATAGGACTTTGCCCAGGCCTCAGGGGGTCCTCCATCCTCTCCTGGAATCTCCTCCTCCCTCTCCTGGAAAATACTCCCTCTTTGCCCTAAAGGCTTGCACCCCAGGGCGCTTAGGAACTAAGACTTGCGTCGGGCAAGGATGCCCAGAGCAAGAGTTAGGTTCAGACCCAGCTTGGAGGCCATGGGCTGGACTTTTCAACTCCCAGTTCTGGCCAGTCTGCGGGGACAAAGTACCCAGAGTCACCTTACCGGAGAGGCAGAAGGGAAAGGAGGAGCTCACAGGAGGCATGCCGGCTGGGCAAAGCGCCCTCGGCGGCGTCTAGAGCACTCGGAGCTGCCCCACTGCCTCCACCCAAGGTCGCGGCCCAAAGGGAGCCCTCGAAAGTTCAGCCAGAGGCCGAGGAGTGCCAGGGTTGGCACTACGGGGAGAGTTTTGCGACAGGAGAGGGACTAAGAGCTCGATTCCAGGTAGTAGTGGGAACCCGAGGCAAGCGCCCAGTCCCGCAGGCTGCATCCCCGACCGCAGCGCCCAGCTCGGAAAAGCTGGGCGGGGGCTGCACCACCTGAGCCGCAAGGACAGCACGGCCTCCCCCTACTCATCAGTGTTCTCCATCCCTACAATCGGGGCGCAGAGAGCCAATCCGGGCTAGAAAGGGAGCGGCGTCCACCCTTGGGCAGCCCAAGCAGCCCCCCTCCTTTTCTGTCGCAGACCCCAGGCTGGGAGGCGGGGGCGCCAGGTCGGCCCAAGCTGCTGCAGCCGCTGCCTTAAAGGCAGCGGAGGACGCGGCGCTGGGGAGGGGGCGAGGCGGGTGGCGGAGGTGAGAGGAGAGTGGTCGAGCGCGGGGGCCAACGCCCGGGTCACGCAGGGCGGGTGTTGGACACCCCGGCGCACTGCCGGGGACTGGGGTCGCAGAGTCCCTTACCTTGGCGAGCTGCGGAAGTCGTGCGCGAGGCGGCCCGCGGTGCACCCGGCCGGGGCAGCTAGGCGCACACCCCGGCTTCGGGGCGCACGCAGCCTCCGGGTGCACAGTCCGCGTCCCAGGCGCGCACCCCGGGGCTGGCGCACCCTGGTCGTCCGCGGCGCGCACACCCTCCAGGCGCCCTCTGGCCGGCGGGCTCGGCCCTGGCCCCGGCGCACCCCTGTGGGCACACCCACCGCGGCGGATGCGGGACTGGCCAGGCGCCGCCAGTCGCGGCTTCGCCCCGCGTCGCCAGCTGCCAACAGCGCCCGAGTCCCCGCCTTCGCTAGGGGAGAAAAAAAAAGACTCCTGACGCGGCGCGGGCTTTGGTGTGTAGGAAGGGGCAGAATTGTGAAACCGACGGGAGGGTCTTAGCCTCGATAAACTCAAAAGCCCTTGATAAACATGAGCTTAGAAGAAAAACTTTTTGAAAAGAGACCAAAAACTCCTAACCTGTTCATAGTGCTTTTCAGATTCCCAAAGTGCTTTCGTATGCGTTTATCTCGGTTCATTTAGACATTTCCATCCTCTTTTGATAGGTGCAGAAACAGCACCAGACAAGGTAATGACTTGCTCCAGCCAGGACTGGAACCCAGGTCTGGCCACTGGGAAGCTGGGTGAAGTAAGTGAGGTGCTCGCCAGCGGACGTGGTCCAGTGAGGGCTGGGGTCCTAGTAACAGATCTTTTTTTTTTTTTTTTTTTTTTTGAGACGGAGTCTCGCTCTGTCGCCCAGGCTGGAGTGCAGTGGCTCGATCTCCGCTCACTGCAAGCTCCGCCGCCTCCCAGGTTCACGCCATTCTCTTGCCTCAGTCTCCCTAGAAGCTGGGACTACAGGCGCCCGCCACCACGCCCGGCTAATTTTTTTGTACTTTCAGTAGAGACGGGTTTCGCCGTGTTCGCCAGAATGGTCTCAATCTCCTGACCTCGTGATCCGCCCGCCTCGGCCTTCCGAAGTGCTGGGATTACAGGCATGAGCCACCGCGCCCGGCCCCTAGTGACAGATCTTTTACCTCTCCTAAATCGTCTTTTTCCATTTCCTTTTTTCCTTCCCAGTCCTTGCTGTAGTCCCACTCAGGAACCCTAAGTCTTCCATTTCACACTCCGACCGCCCACCAAAGGTTTGTTGCTGTTGCTGTTGTTGTTTGAGACGGAGTCTCGCTCTATCGCCAGGCTGGAGTGCAGTGGCGCGATCTCGACTCACTGACACCTCTGTCTCCCTGGTTCAAGCCATTCTCCTGCCTCAGTCTCCCAAGTAGCTGGGACTACAGGCGCGCACCACCACGCCCAGCTAACTTTTGTATTTTTAGTAGAGACGGGGTTTCGCCATGTTGGCCAGGCCAGTCTCAAACGCCAGGTGATCCGCCCTCCTTGGCCTCCCAAAGTGCTGGAATTACAGGCGTGAGCCACCGCGCCCGGCCCACCAAAGTTTTGTATCAGTTCAAAATGTTTGCGTTTCAACTGCTAATTTTGAATGAACAGCTCAGTAAGTGCCTGGTGGGCATTGTGCACCATAACCCTCGGAGAAAGGAGCTGCTGTTACTCTCCCTTTACAGGTGAAGACAACAGAGATGGGGAAGTAGAGGGCCATGAAGCCCGTAAGACTCTGGATGCCAGCTCTGACCCCCACCATGGGCATCCTTCATGGGCCCATTGGCAAGGGCTAACATTTAAACAAAGGGGTTTCCTTTTTGACATTGTGATCCAGATGGGGGAGTACTTTCTGGGACTTTCCTTTTACATTTTTATAGAAATATGGTTATTAGAACGATTTCACTTCCACTAGAGCACCACTGGAGCAAATCAATATCCCAGAGCAATAATAAATGGCAGCAGAGACTTGGTCCCAGTGTTGGGACATAGTAGGGAGTGGTGGGGACTGTGGTGAGCCTGATAGGAGCTCCAGGCTCTTGCCCAAGGGACCAGGCTGCTGCTACTCAGCTCAGTCTATTTTGCCATCTAGGGAAAGGGATTCATGTGGCCAGCTCCTCCCATTTTTAAAAAGAAGCCATCAGCCAGACACAGTGGCTCACGCCTGTAATCCCAGCACTGTGGGAGGCCGAGGCGGGTGGATTACCTGAGGTCAGCTGTTCGAGACCAGCCTGGCCAACATGTAAAACTCCATCTCTACTAAAAATACAAAATTAACCGGGCGTGGTGGTGTGTGCCTGTAATCCCAGCTACTTAGGGGTCTGAGGCAGAAGAATCACTTGAACCCGGGAGGCAGAGATTGCAGTGTGCCGAGATCGCACCACTGCCCTCCATCCTGAGCGACAGAGCGAGACTCCATCTCAAAAAAAAGAAAGCAATAAGTCAGATATTTAAGTGAAGGCCCCAAATTTGTTAGGAGCTCATTTGTGTAATGCTAAACACTTTCTACATAGGTCAATATTGTTCAAGCCAAAGGAAATGGCTTTATGGATCAGATCCAGCCTACAGGCCAGGGGTTTGTGCTCTCATGTCTGGGGGCACTTCATACTATTTTCATTTAGGCTTCCCATCATCCCTGTGGGATAGACCCAGTGTGGATCATATTTCCATTTTAGGGAAGAGGAAGCCCAGTTCAGGTGGGCTCCAGAACTGGCCCAAGGTCACACAAGCAAATTGGTGGAGCTGGAACTGAAACCAGACATTCCACAACTCCTGGTGCTGGAACCTTTTCTCTGGGCATTCTCTGATCTCATGGAGAATTTGTTTCTTGGTTCTGGGCATTGTGAGCCAAGTTAGGGGCTGGCACTGGGGTGTGGAGATAGCACCTTTCCTGGGAAGATGGAACGGGAGTGCCAGACTGCTGTCCTCGAAAGCAGGAGACCAGCCTGATGACTCAGAGATGAGACTGTGTCTTGAGGGTAAAGCTGAGTCAGAGAAAGCAAGATCTGAACTGCGGCAGCTGGGGTTTCTGAAGCCCAGATTAGGGTACTGAGAAACTGGGAGAAGAAAAACAGACAAAGTAAATCCTCTATCCCCACCCCCACTCCCCCCCACCCACATACACACAAAACCAGAAGCCCCAGACACCCAGACATCACCAAGAACATTGCCTACTATTCCTGTCATGACAGGAAAGCATCAAGAGTTAGACTGTAAGTTGGGCCCCTCGTATGGTCCTGGAAAGAGGGAAACTTTTTCAGGCAGCAGGTCTCTAGAAGCTCAGGTTTGGGCATCTCCACTGCAGGACCCAGCCTGGGCCTTTCAGACAGAGTGAGTACTCGTGTTGAAAACTGATTTAGAATGACTGGGCACAATGCTACTGCAGTCTGATCCTCTGTGATCAAAGGACTGAGCAGCAGACAGAATACGGTGTCTCTGTGCCTTTGCTGGAGTTTGGGGTTGTGTGTAGGAGGATTAATACTAGTCACTATTGTGAACCCAGAAAATCTGAGACAGGTCTGAGTTAATTTAGAAAGTTTATTTTGCCAAGGTTGAGGACGTGCCTGTGACACAGCCTCAGGAAGTCCCGATGACATACGCCCGAGATGGTCAGGGCACAGCTTGGTTTTATACATTTTAGGGAGACACGAGACACCAATCAATATTATAAGAAGTACGTCAGTTGGGTCTGGAAAGGCGGGGCAACTTGAAGCAAAGGCAGGAAGACTCTAAGTGAGAGGGAGGGAGCTTCCAGGTCACAGTTGCATTCTTTGGAGTTTCGGATTAGCCCTTCCGAAGCAGGCAATCAGATATGCATCGATCTCAGTGAACGGAGGGATAACTTTGAATAGAATGGGAGGCAGGTTTGCCCTAAGCAGTTTCCAGCTTCAGTTTTCCTTAATGATTTTGGGGGCCCAAGATATTTTCCTTTCACACTATCTACCATGTACCGGCATTTCACATACATGACACAATCTCATTGGGACTCACAACAAAACTGAAATAGCTGTTCTGTTATTGAGGATATGAGGCACAGTGTTACCTGCCTGAGGACACACAACTAGTAAATTGGTGAGGTCGGATTCCAACTTACATCTTTGTAACCCAAATACTAAACCTCTCTAACTGTAGGCCTGGAAATTGGGGCCAACATGGAGATGTATCACTCAGATCTCACTTTAAGACAGGACTGCCAGGCCGCAGCCATGTGGTTCGCTGGCAGCCCCCAGTGTGGTGAGCTCCTGCAGTCAGTGGTGTGTTAGTAATGTTTAACCACCAGCTCACTGGGCGCGGTGGCTCACACCTGTAATCCCAGCACTTTGGGAGGCTGAGGTGGGTGGATTACCTGAGGTCGGGAGTTCAAGACCAGCCTGACCAACATAGAGAAACCCTGTCTCTACTAAAAATACAAAATTAGCTGGGCATGGTGGCGCATGCCTGTAATCCCAGTTACTCGGGAGGGTGAGGCAGGAGAATCACTGAACCTGGGAGGCGGAGGTTGTGGTGAGCCGAGAGTGTGCCATTGCACTCCCGCCTGGGCAACAAGAGCGAAACTCTGTCTCAAAAAAAAAACAAAAAACAAAAAAACCCAGCTCTTAGCAGGGAGAAATGTGTGCACATATACAGTGGGTTCTCAGTATTCTCTGTAGTTCTATAAGTTCTATAAAGTGGCTTCAAATACTGATATAGTGAATACTGAACCATTGCTCTTAGAGGAAATGCAGAATAAGGTGCCTGAGGGCCTCTAGTTACATTTTCATCAGCCCATTAATATCTAACCTTGTTTTACCCGTATTTCTGTTTAAAGACTCCATATGTCAGGTATGATTCTGACATGAACATTGATTGGTATTTTTGTTTACATTAAGGATTAAAATGAAAGTAAAAGAACAAAGGTGTATATTGGGAACTTCATTCATTATTCAATAGCATGAGTGACTTCTTTGTGAATCAGGTAACTGTTTTCAAATACCAGAATATCCCTCAATTTTTTGTACTATTTCCAATGTAATAGCTACAGACATGGCATACTTTTAAATTTAGTATGCAATATTAACCTTTCTCCTTTACTTTCTTTTGTCTAGAACACTGTACAGGTTTTTGCGTGAGCATAAATTTTCATTTCTTTAGGGAAAAGTACACAAGAATGAGACTGCTAGCTCATATGATAAACGTATTTTCAACTTTATGAAAAGCTACCAATTTGGGCGCAGTGGCTCATACCCATAATCCCAGCACTTTAGGAGGCTGAGGTGGAAGGATCCCTTGAATCCAGGAGTTCGAGACTAGCCTAGGCAACATGGTGAAACTCTCTGTCTACAAAAAAATACCAAAATTAGCCAGGCAGGCTAGGCACGGTGGCTCAGGCCTGTAATCCCAGCACTTTGGGAGGCCAAGGCGGGC